TTCACAGTTTACAGGGTAGTAGTTTGAGTCAGATGGACATAATGACATTTCTAGTACAGTCTTTGGTTCTTGGCTGTGATGGACTGGAGGAATTTCTCCCTTCTCACTGGCTGTGCAATTCTCCTTCAGTTCTCTGCCCTGTCCCCATCTCCTTGAGAGGTGTAGCCTACCTTCTCTGATCCGGATGGGATCCACCCGAGAGTGCTGAGAGAGCTGGCGGAGGAGCTAACAAAAAAGAGCTCCTCCCCATCATCTATCAGCAGTCCTGGTTAACGGGGGAGGTCCCGGACGACTGGAGGCTGGCCAATGTGACGCCCATCTACAAGAAGGGCCGGAAGGAGGATCCGGGGAACTACAGGCCTGTTAGCCTGACCTCAGTGCCGGGGAAGATCATGGAGCGGATCATCTTGAGGGCGCTCACAAGGCAGGTGCGGGACAACCAGGGGATCAGGCCCAGCCAGCACGGGTTCATGAGAGGCAGGTCCTGCTTGACCAACCTGATCTCCTTCTATGACCAGGTGACCCGCCTAGTGGACGAGGGAAAGGCTGTGGATGTGGTCTACCTGGACTTCAGTAAGGCCTTTGACACCGTCTCCCACAGCATTCTCCTGGAGAAGCTGGCGGCTCACGGCTTAGACAGGTGTACTCTGTGCTGGGTAAAAAACTGGCTGGACGGCCGGGCCCAGAGAGTTGTGGTGAATGGAGTTCAATCCAGTTGGCGGCCGGTCACGAGCGGTGTTCCCCAGGGCTCAGTATTGGGGCCAGTTCTGTTTAATATCTTTATCAATGATCTGGATGAGGGGATCGAGTGCACCCTCAGTAAGTTTGCAGACGACACCAAGTTGGGCGGCAGTGTTGATCTGCTCGAGGGTAGGAAGGCTCTGCAGAGGGACCTGGACAGGCTGGATCGATGGGCCCAGGCCAACTGTATGAGCTTCAACAAGGCCAAGTGCCGGGTCCTGCACTTCGGCCACAACAACCCCATGCAGCGCTACAGGCTTGGGGAAGAGTGGCTGGAAAGCTGCCTGGCGGAAAAGGACCTGGGGGTGTTGGTCGACAGCCGGCTGAACATGAGCCGGCAGTGTGCCCAGGCGGCCAAGAAGGCCAACGGCATCCTGGCCTGTATCAGAAATAGTGTGGCCAGCAGGAGCAGGGAAGTGATAGTGCCCCTGTACTCAGCACTGGTGCGGCCGCACCTCGAATACTGTGTTCAGTTTTGGGCCCCTCACTACAAGAAGGATGTTGAGATGTTGGAACGTGTCCAGAGAAGGGCAACGAGGCTGGTGAGGGGTCTGGAGAACAAGCCTTATGAGGAGCGGCTGAGGGAGCTGGGGTTGTTTAGCCTGGAGAAAAGGAGGCTGAGGGGAGACCTCATTGCTCTCTACAACTACCTGAAAGGAGGTTGTAGCGAGGTGGGTGTCGGTCTCTTCTCCCAAGTAACTGGCGAAAGGACGAGAGGAAATGGCCTCAAGTTGCGCCAGGGGAGGTTTAGATTGGATGTAAGGAAAAATTTCTTTACTGAAAGAGTAGTTAAACATTGGAACAGGCTGCCCAGGGAAGTGGTTGAGTCACCATCCCTGGAAGTATTTAAAAGACGCATTGGACCAGGCTGCCCAGGGAAGTGGTTGAGTCACCATCCCTGGAAGTATTTAAAAGACGTGTAGATGAGGCACTTAGGGACATGGTTTAGTGGGCATGGTGGTGTTGGGTTGACGGTTGGACTCGATGATCTTGGAGATCTCTTCCAACCTTAAGGATTCTATGATTCTATGATTCTATGATTCTATGATTCTGTGATTCTATGAACTCACCATTTTTTAGTTCATCTGAGTCTTTCTGGTCTTGTGTTTGTTATAGAAGTGATCTTTCGGTAAGATCACACAGGACAAGCAGAGCTTATGGGTTATTATGAGGAAACCCAAGAGTTGGTTTTTATGTGCTCTGCAAGTGAGTCTTTTGCCTCTCTTTACATCAGCTTTTTACACTGCTCATTTGGCAGATCACATCTATTTCACCACAGCCAAAGATCTGTAGTTGGTTTTCTGGGCATTGCCAGTCATGCAGGTCATGTTCCAGACCATAGCTGGGCCACCTTTTATGCGCTGGAGCCTCACATTAGCAGTTAGATGTAGTTGTTAGTGACTGCCACGCTGAAGCCATGCTAGATCAGGGAGATAAGGAAATGATGCAGGATTCATACAACTCATGCATGCTTTCTCTGACATCTGAAATTTAGGTAATCTGCATTATGAATCTAATTACAAGCAATCTGGGCAACAGAAATCTCTGTGTATAATTTATGCATATCTCTAGAGCTTTAAAGAGTGAGTCCTTAAAGGCATATGGAACTTTAAAGTTATGAGTATCCGGTTTGTCTTGGTGGACTGTGAACTCATTCATACCAAACGGTTCTATTTTCCTGGTAACGATGTATGTAAAGGAGGGAATGTATTTAGCAACAGCAATATATATGAGTTGAGTGAGATTGACTTTCCACATTTTGGGTCCCTTTGAGGACTCTGGCATTAATGCTGCTGCTGCTGCTATCCCTGAATTGGTCGTGTTTATGCAAACTCCATGCAGTGCTGTAGGTTTGTAATACCACTTAGAAGCATTTAATGCAGGCTTGTGATTCACAGGGAAAAAAACCAATATGATTTGCCAAAGAAAACCCCAACCCAGAGGGGAAGCAATTTTGTGTTCTTTATCTTGGATTATAATGACATAAGCCTCTAGAGACATTCCGATAGCTCTAACCCGGGGTTGAATGGAGAGCAGTCAAGAGCAATGAAAAGGAAAACCCTTGCTTTTTGCTGCTGTTGATGAGTTTCTGATCAGACAAAGCAATGCACACAGAGAATCACTGAACAGACTGGTGGAGCTGACCCATTAAATTAAATTTCTCCTGTGTTGCAACTAGATGATCTCAAAAAGCTGTGTCAAGTGTCCCTGTACATCTACAGTGGGTAACCATGTGTTTTCACATGGTGAACAATAATGAGCATTCAGCAAATAGCATGATTTGTGAATAAAGGTAAAGCTAAAGGCAGGTAAGGTGAAGCAGTGTTCCTACATTGTCCAAATGAATTGATGTGGATTGATATGATGTATACCAGTCTTGACTTCAAAATAATACTTTAGCTGGGTTCTTCCTGGGGACATCAGTCCAGCTGTCTGAGTCTGCTTGTAAGATGAGAACCTGACCATTATTTTGCACACGCCATTGCGTTGTGAAAGTTTATACTTCCAGATTAGTTTATACTTGTACGAGTTACACATCAAGAAAAATTAGAACATTACCTTTAAAAGGCTCAGTGAACAAAAAAAACCAAACTCATTGAAAAAGATTTTCCTTAATGTTTTTCCTCTAAATAGTATCTGGCTATTAGTGAAAAATATTATTTTTCTCAATTCTTTGTTCTAAACCATTTGTTTTTCTTTTTTTCCTGAGACGTGAAATTTATTGAGTTTACTGAAAAGGTGGACCATTCTCAGTTCTTTCTCTTTTTAAGCCACACGTTTTACAGCAGTATAATACAGTATGCTTTGCCAGCAGATTGCATAAAACTTGTTGTTCATCCTAAATTAAATTAATATATTTGGAGAGCTAGGTCTCCCCCTGCCACATTCTATTGTCTTTCTACAATAGAATTTGGGCACTTTTTTCTACTTTGAAGTGCTGTCCTCAGCTTCAGCACAAATTGGTTTACAGTGAAGAATTCACTGATAGGGGAACGTCTCGGGTATCAAAGTATGTAGGTATGACCAAAGTGAAAGATGTTTCTCTTGACATTTCAGTCCAAAGGAGCACAGCTGATTACTACCTGCCTTATAAAGATGCCAACGTGGCATCTTAATGAGATCCTCACAGGCATGTGTGTGAGTCTCTTGTCCAGTTCATAACTGGTCATGCAAACATCCATGATCCACTTTGTGACAAATGAGTGCCAAACTAATGAGAGTGGTTACATACAACCCTCAAAAGTATGACTCGCCAAAAAAGGTTGTTCTCTATCTCCCTGAGAACTGCAGTGTATTGTGGATGGGTTGAACTTAAATCATGCATGAACAGATCAACTCTGGAGCAAATATGCAGTAGTTTGAATATGCCAGGAAGGACTGGATTCAGCATACATGAGCAGATGACTTCACCTCTTCAACTGTGGTAAAGACATGTTCAGAAGTAGATACCAAATGTACACAGTCCTGGAATTTTCCCTGTGAGAGTACATGGGTGGAGCCCCAAACCAATTAGGTTTTGAGGATATGCTGTGGTGTATTCCAGAAAAGACTGGCAGTAACTGTTTAGTCAACAGTCGGTAAAAGAAGATTGCTGATAAGAGGCAGGTCATTGCGGTATGAGAACAGCTGCTATTCCTCAAATAAGGCAAGACTTGGTTAGAGAGAATTCCTGTATGTGGACCCTGGCTAGTGAGTTCATAATGCAGGTAAGGAATGGTGAGGAGCACTGGTACAACAGCAGGTGCTGCTTTACAGTGTGTCTAGACAATTAGGTGATAAACTGCTAGTCTAGCAAGAGAAGTCCAATCTCATACTCTGATTAAGAATCTTTTCAAAATCAGACTGCCGTTTCATTGGATTTTACTTAAATCTCATGATGTTTAGTTTCTGTCTTAAATTCCCTGGCTTTCTGTAATTATGAAAGCATGATTTTTTGGAAGCTATCAGCTTTGACTGCTGCATGGAGGAACTTGAGAACGTCAGTTATAAAAGTTCAAATATTAAAATACAAATGAAAGAAACCTCTGTGGTTTATGAAATTGTCAGTTCATGACTTGAATAGTTTGAAGTGATGAATTATACTGCAAGAAACTGTGATTTTTATTCTGGTTTGGTGTATTTAAAACATAAATATTTATTAAAAATTTCTATTCCCATTTACAAAATATTTGCATTTTGTAAGTTCCCTTTAATATGATTTGGTTCTGATGGATATGGTTCCAGTCACTGATGCTTTCTTTTTTTTTTCTCTTTTTCAGTTACACCAGCAGAGTTGTTTCCAATGGACTGAAGGCACAAATTAATAATCCAGAACTGAAAGTCAGAGGATTGGACCCACTCATCAGTAATTTAATTGATAAACTTCAGCACTTTAATCAAGTAAGTAATTTTTAGAGATAAAAGCATTTTATCATGGGGTTTGACAGCAGAGCTGAAGCTAGAATTACTAGGTGGTACTGCTTCTCATGTTACATTTCCCAGGATCATAGACCTGAAATAGCCATGGAGTGGGCCTGGTACTAAAGACAACTGAAGATTCTGTGTGCCAGCTGGTTTATGAACTCTAACGAGGCAAAATTACTTCCCTGGAAGTTGCTCTAATTCCTGGCTGTTGTTCCATAGCTGTTGATTAACTGTCCTACAGTCCACAGTCCCAGGAACATGGAGGAACTCCTGAGTCCCACAGTTCGTGTGAAGCTTGTGACTAGAGTCAGGCTGTGTGAGCGCCTTTAGGAGTCCTGTTGATATTCTTGTGTTGGAGGAATATCTCCTTGTTTGTGCAGCTTCCTGTTTTTCAGTGGTGTAGATATAAACAGGTCAAAAGACAAAATGGGTTTATAAGGATGTGATAACTGAACTGTACAGAATGCTGAAGTCAGGACAGAAGGTGCTCCAGGATGAATTAACCTTGCACCTTTGAAAACATTTCCTTGACAGGCCTTGTTCTCGAGCCCCTCAGCCCAAAAGGAAAGATAACCTACCAATGAGTTTGTCAGAGGCATGATTAACCTGTGTCTGCCTTTATCATCTATTTGGTTTCCCTCAGATGCACTTGCAGTCCTGGTGCACCTGCTGTCTCTCAGAGCTGAATGCATGGTTCTCTGATATTACTGCTTCAGCACACCTCTTTGTGAGCTCTTAAAGTAGTGCCAGTCCAAATGAGCTGGAGCTAACAGATTTAGCAGAGATTTTCATTTAAAGTAGGCATGTTTTCTTGTCAACTTGGAAGAATGCTTACAACAGTGTGTTTGGAGTCAGATGTGTTTGCACATTAGTCTACTCGTAATTTTTCACTGTTAAAGAGTGATGGAGCACGGGGATATAAATAGTTAGTAGAAAACCACTGTAAGATTAAAGTCCACCTTTGCAGGTGGGGTGTGCAGGAAGAAAAATAATCTGCACAGGTAAAACGGCAGGAGGAATTGCTTAGTCAGGATGTGGGAGGTTAAGACTGTGGCTGTGACCGGGAGTCATGGTTTGATCTCTTATTTGCTCCTGCAAAAGTATGACCCTCCTTTACCTCTCATCAACCACCAGTGGTAAATCTATAATCTAACCAGTAATTAGTGTTTTTGTTAAATCTTGCTTGGCTCTGAAGTTCTACTGTTCTGTAGGCTGCAGTTTAGGGATTCTTTGTATCACACTGTTTGATTTAACTTGCCATGGGGGATTACAACAACCAGTCTGATGCGTTACTCAATATTACAGTGAAATAGACATCAGGTAGTCAGATTGATGAAAGGATAATTCATTATTTATCTGCCTTTGCATGTTATAAAGTAGAGTGTTAATTTACTTTATAAATATTAGATATATCCATCTGTGTAATAGTCTTCTATAAACACTGACAATAGGAAATAGTTAGAAATAGATTAAATTAAAAGTAGCTGTGTATTGGAATTGTATTCTTTGTCTTCTGTAGAAAAATAAAAATCTGAGCGGCCTCATAATGAGCTGCATACCAACTTTCTTAAGTTATGTATGTTTAAAAAACAGCTTCAAAGAACACTTTTTTAGTCAGAAAAATAAAATCCAATTCCTAGATCTTTCTGTAAGTTGGAAGTGTTGCTTTCTGTTACTTCTACTGTTTTAGGAGACTATCATCCTTAAGTAAATGTAACTCCCACCAGATTGAGGTGCTTAGCAATAATGGATTCCAAGGGTAAGGGATTAAACAGAATACTGATTATTGCCCTAAGATGGTTTGTTCTTAAGTACTTGGAATAATATAAATTCCTTTGATCGTAATTTTAGTAAGATTTCTTCAGAGATCAAAGCATCAAAGAAGTTGCTGAATATCTAAGGCTTTCACATACAACATCAAACATGTGTAGCTGTTTTCTGCTTCTTGAATTTTCATTTCCGTTATGATATTAATACACAAATAAAAACTGACACTGAAAAGCCGATTAAATCAGGAGTTTAAAGTGTCATCACTAGCGTGTGTAGACTGTATAGAGGAAGAGTTATACAGAATCCCATTACTCATTTTATAGGCAAATTGATTTCATTAAAATATTTTTTTTTTGGAGGCAATATGTAAGATGGAATTTAAACAGTGATAAAATAAGGCGTTATCTTTGTATCTTCTTAAGTGTTTGACATTTGCAACTCCATTTTAAGCAACAGTTGCATATACAGAAGCAATCCTGGAGAGGCCGGAAGCCTGGAGAGCAGAGAACAGAGCGATGCACAGAATGTGCATCATAGGTGATTTGATGTGTCTAGGCCCTAATAATCTTCTACCACTTAAGTAATACTGCTAAACTACCCAGAAGAAAGCGTATTCTTGGATAAGAGAAAGATGTGCTGAGATTTTAAAATGAAATTACATTTCTGTCTTAAGAAAACAAGCTCCAGCCATGCTGGATCTATCCCTCAGAGAGCCTGGACCTCTTGGCTTTCTCTCTCTCTCTCTCATTGTTTTGCAAAGGTGCATGTTTTTGAAAATCAGAACAATTTGCTGCTAGATCAATTTGCTGAGGTTGTGGAGTACTGTCAACTACAGCTATGTTCAAATCAGCAGGATTCATTTTTCTAAAAGATGTACCTTAGCTCAGCAATTCTTAATGATTTCTGGAGCGAATCTAATTGCTGCTGTCTTCGATAGATCCTCTTCCACCTCCTGTCTTCTACTGCTGGACCCCAGCTCCTCCTCATCACTCTGCAACTACTGCTGCAGCCTCCTTCCCCCATGCTGGCAGTCCCAGACTGCGGACGCAGCAGCGCGGTGCAGCAGGGTCAGTGGGGCCTGAGGTAACATGAGCCTTTGGCGACTGGGGTAGCAATGCAGCGCAAGGCTGTGAGCAAGAGTAGCTTGTCACTGGCCATGCAGATGTAGCAAACTATTCATTCAATTAAATCCAAAACTGACAGTCTTTGTTGTACAGCAGCCATTTCTTTGTTAGCTCCTTATTATGACTTATCCACAAATGTAAAGAGACTAATAAATCCATTGATCCTAAATCCCATGGACACGAACAAAACTCTTGTCAATGTATTATTGTTCTATTTGGTGCATGCCAACTCCAGCACATTACAAATAGTCTGTACGCAAGTTGTCTTCCATTTCTGCCTGTCATTTAGGCTGAAATATCAGTTTGTTGGAGATCATAGCAGTTCCTCATTTTTTTCATCTGGGACTTAAATCCTCACCACATAGTTGTTGTTTTTAAAAAAAAAAAGATTATGCAAATAGCAGGCTATTTCATAACCACTTTACAAAGCCAAAAGTAAAGTGAAATTTAGAGAATATTGTTCAACAATTAGTTATTTGCATCCCTGGCACATAAGGTATTTGAAGGGTTTATTGTAGCTGCTGATTCACATATCAATAGAATTACCGAGTTACCATTTACAGTAACTTTTACTTTTAGTAATGCAAAAACAGATCAAGTGAAGTCCCAGATTGATTTTGAAGAACTAGCAGTTAGAAATAACATCTTTTCCTCCTCTTTTTTTGTGAATAGAGCAGATGTGAACTGCAACTGATAATAAACATAAAATCCCCCATTGTGCCTTTTTTGACTACTGCTTCTTGCCACGTAATCACACTTAAATATGTTTTAATGTTTTTCTTCAGCATAATGCTTTTCACAGTTCAAACACAAGTGGTTCTGAAGCCAAGGTTAAAAATCCTAAAGGATCAGTTGCATTGAAAAGCAATGAGAACGTTAGGGAAAAGTGAAAAAGCTTTGACTATAACTTTACTAGCAGGGTTGCATGGGCATTCTCAAAGGATTACAATATAATAAGTATTATAGAAGTTTAACTTATTTGTCTTTTGTCAGCCTAAATCTAATCTTGACAGATTTTGAGAATCGGTGTGTTTTGCTGTTGTCAGTCGGAGATGAATGCTTAGGGCATGGCTGTAATTCAAGAAGACAGTGCAATATCTTAGCGCTTAAAATGAGAGCAATGCCAAAGCAAATCTTGCTGAATCTGGTCCCA